TTAGCAGAGGAGGTTTCATGGCTCCCAGCCAAGAAGACCTTGTCCCACAGAAGATGGTGCCAATGTAAGGGATGTTCCGTTGTCTGGTCTGGCTTGGCACGGAGGGTGTGATTAACACTAAGAAGGTAGAGGCTGGCTTTGCTGTGGGATAGCCTATGAGGCCCTGGAGAGCCCCACAGAGCACAAACCTGTGCTACTCCAGTATTCACAGTGCTGTTTTCGTTTTTGTTTAGGACAGGGTTAAAGGGTATAGAGGGTCTCACTACATAGATTGGACTCGTACTGATCCTCCTGTTTACAGCCTCTCAAGTGCTAGGATTACAGGCACGCACCACCATGTCCAGTCTCTCTTGCCAACTCAGCGTGCCCCGGGGGTAGGACCGGCACAGCAGGCCAAAGGATCAAACTCCCAGCCCCTGCATCTGCCTAAGAAGGCACTTTAATCCACTGAGCTATTTGGCTGCCCTCATAGTGCTGTTGCTGGAAGAAAATTTGCCTTGATTCGGTAATCACTGGAAAGTGGAAAGTCCAATTCGTGGGAGTCCATTACACTGCAGGGACTCCTGCTATGTGTGTTTAAAACTTCTGTGATTAAAGGTTTTACTGCTGACAGAAGAGAAGCTTATAAAATGAACTGGGACCTGCTCTGGGCTGCTGACAAATATTGTTAACTTATCTTGACTAAATGTGGAACTAAGAAAAGATCCTGTATGCTTCCTCTACAGATTTCTTAGAAAATTATGTGAGATATCTTAAGCTTTAAAAGAAAGGTTGGACACAGTGGACTTTGCACACATGAACACTGAATTTACTTGTATCACTTTATTCAAACACAGGGAAGGGCCAGTGTGATAGCTCAGTGTACTAAACACCTCCTTGGCAAGAGCAGGGATTGGGATTCCGTCCCCAGCATCACATGCTGTGCTGGCCTGCCCCAAAGCACACTGAGCTGGCCACCAAGACCTGGTGTACTGGCACATGGTGTACTGTAATCTCAGCTCTAGGGAGGCTGAAAACAGGAGGATCACTACAAGGCTGATCTGTGCAGTGAGACCCTGTACCAAACATATGAGAAGAGAGGAGAAAAAGAACCACAATGAAGATGAGCAAGCATGTAAATAAAACCTCCAAATATTTAAATGTAATCAATGGTATTCTGTTATATGTCCCCATGCAGTTCAGTTTCTGTGACATTTTCTCATCAATGTATTTTCTCAATTAGAATATTTACTTGAATGTCCCTAATACAGAAAGGTCTTCAATGTGTGCCTTTGAGTGTTTGCTGTAAGAAGCTACATTTGCTAAAATATTTCTGGGATAAGCCTTGCTCAGCTAGCCCTCGAAACTGTGCTTGTCAAAATTTGAATATATCTCCTGATTTGGGGCAAAATGCACCACGACTTTTGACCCTGTCTTTCCATTCCAGTTATAACTAAACCGCCACCAACCCCTTTTCTGTCAGAATCAAGACCATTTCTACCGAATACCTTCTGGTGAAAGGTACTGTGCACATCAAGTACAACTATCGGCTTGTGCTTACGTAGAACCTAATGGGAATGCAGCAGATGCTTCCAGCAGCTCTCATTCACAGCAGCCAACAGCAGAAACCACTCCCATGCCTGTCCAGAACGTTTCTCCTGTGGTATATCCATACAACAGGATGCCCGCTCTGGATAGAGAGAACAAACCTACTGTAACACGAAACACAAAATCTCAAGAACATCTAGAGTGAAAGAGGCCACCTACTGAAGAGTATGCACTTTATGCATTCACCTGCAGGATCCCAGGAATTAGCTAATCCACAATGGCAGAAGTCAGGTGAGTTAAGTGCTGGCCAGATAGCTCAGTGGATTAAAGTATCTGCTTAGGCAGACACAGGGACTGGGGTTCAATTCCAGTAAGCCATGCAGGTCCCACCCCCTGGGTGTGCTGAGCTGGGCACGGTGGTGCACACCTGTAATCCCAGGGTTTAGGAGGCTGAAAAAAGGAGGATTACTACAAATCAGATCTGTATAGTGAAACTCAGTAGACCCTGTACTAAATACATTTTTTTTAAAAAATCAGGTGAGTTGGTGAGGTCAGCTCCCCCCCGGTGGGGTGTTTCTTGTCTCAAGTGTTGGTCATCAGAGCATACATTTGCTAAAACATGCACTTGGGTGCTACATTTCACTGGATGTCAATTTTATCACCATTAAAAAATGAAGGTGACTTGGGATGGGAAACTTGATTCTGAGAGTCAGAGTACAGTAACATAGGCACAGGTTTTTACAAGATTTGTGCAGAGCAAACTGAGGTGATTAAGAATGATAAACTTGAAGCCTTTAGATTTAAGTGGATGCCACTTGAAGATATATTCATAAGTGAAACCAACCAGACTCACTTGTGTAAATATCATATAGTCTCCCAAGTGTAAGAACTCAAAAGAAGAAAAAAATAGAATGGTATAACACAATTAAAAGGAAAGCAACAACATCAGGATTAGACAAGGAAGAGAGGGCAAGGAGAAAAGCTAGGAAACATGAGGGGGCAAAGCCATACATTTATATGCACAAGATGATTAAGGCAATGATCCTGATAATCTTTAGCAGGTTTTTGAAACTAGCAGTTAAATGGTGGGATTCTCACCCTGACTAATTATATATGCTAATAACTGTAAACTAAGAAACTGCATTGAAGATAGCAATATGTAATACTAGAGTCATGATTCGAATGTCTGTCATTCTAGTCTTCTAAATGCATACTGCTTGTCATGTCATACCAATTACTGCTATACTGTTTCTCAACTAAATGTTTGTTTTTAAAAAAAGTAATGAAATAAAAGTTATAGACTGTCCTGCTACAATGTTATATATGGTTAGATTTCTAGATTTCTGTGTAAAATATGTAATTGTTTATTCCTATTTTTTAAAATATTTTCTATTTTTTTAATATGCTTTCTTCACATTCTGTAGGGACTTAAAGTTTAGCATATCAATACTTGATGGAAAATACCTGTTCCATGTTTTGTCTAAGATGTTTGATATTCAGACAGATAGTGATGTCAAGCTCAACTGCATATGTTCTAGGGTAATAATAATAATCTTCTCTTCTGGAGGGTTAGCAAACTAAGTTTGCAGGCCAAAAATTGGAGAAAAAGAAGGTCTGCAAGAGCAGCCAACATTTTGGCCCTAGCCTTTGAAGGTCAGTGAGAACTCAGGACATGGGAAAACCTGTACTGCAACATCCTGTAACTCAGTTGTGTCCCAAATTTTCTGATCAAGGAGATTATGGGGCCACAGAACAATGTGATTGATGATGGAGAGTGTGCTAAGGAGAGTCACATGGAGAGAAAGCATTCTCTCAGACTTTCACAAAGAGCAAATTGGTCAAGCAATGGCTGTGACTTGTCCACATGGCTGACACTGACAAAGGATCTGCAAACTGTGTTACAGGGTTTCAGGGTAAATCCTGAGGGGATTTGGGTGACCTTGTGAGATACAAAAGTTACATTTCTTGTTATATAGGTCTTGCTTTATCTTGGTCTTAACCACCCAGCAGAAAGTATAAGCACAAAGTATAAAAAGTAAAACCATATTAATATGCTGAGCTGTAAAGGGTTAAAGTCAACAACTTCTGACATTGCCAGTCCTACAGAAAATCCACTACTATAATGGACTACTGGGCTATATTGGAATATTTTGCTGAATCTACACACCTACAATATTTATTTTGTGTGTGTGCATATGTGTGTGTGTGTGTGTATTGTACATTGCTGTCTTTGATGTAGTTGTTTGTATTTCAGATATTAACAGATAGCTAATCAAAGTGAAAATTTTATTTTATTTTTTAATAATTTTGTTGAGAAACAAATAGCAATGAGACAGTTTAAAATACGATTACGAGCAGAGTTTCAATAATTAATACATTGCATATTATATTCTTAGTGCTTATTCATAGTACAAGATGCAGACATGATATCCTGTCTGCAAAAACTATTAGAACAAAGCTTTCTAGTCATTGAATTAAGAGAAAGTAGCTATATACCTACCCTAACTACTTTGAATCCACAAATACAAAATGGTTCTTCATCTGTATCCCCTTTTTTTGTTTAGTTTTGTCAAAGAAGAGTATTCCATTGTCATTTAAATATTGTAGGTGAATGAATTCAGCAAAATAATACAATATAGTCCAATACTCCATAATAGTAGTGGGTTATCCGTAGGACTGGCAATGTCAGAAGTTGATGACTTGAGCCTTTACAGCTCACCATATCAATATGGCTTTACTTTTCATACCTCGTTTTTTGTACTTTTCTCCTGAATGGTTAAGATCAAGAAAAAACAATATCTGTATAACAAGAAATGTAACTTTTGTATCTGACAAGGTCAGTCAAATCTCCCAGGATTTACCCTGAAATCTTGTACCGCAGATTGCAAATCCTTTGTCAGTGTCAACCATGTGGATGAGTCACAGCCATTGCTTGACCAATTTGCTCTCTGTGAAAGCCTGAGAGAATGCTTTCTTTCCATGTGACTCTCCTTAGGCACACTCTACATCATCGATCACTTTCTTCTATGGCCCCATAATCTCCTTGATCAAAAAATTTGGGACACAACTGAGTTACAGGGTGTTACAGTACAGGTTCTCCTATGGCCTGCATCCTCATTGACCTTCAAAGGCTAGGGCCAAAAGTTGACTGTAAAAAAAAAAAAAATTAATAAAAAATAAAAATGTTGGCTGTCCTTGAAGCCCTTCTTTTTCTCCAATTTTTTGTCTCAAACTTAGGTTGCTAACCCTCCAGAAGAGAAGATTATTATTATTATCCTACAACATAGGCAGTTGAGCTTAACCTCACTATCTGTCTGAATATCAAACATCTTAGACATAACATGGAACAGGTATTTTCCATCAAGTATTGATATGTTAATCTTTAAGTCCCTACAGAATATGAAGAAAAAAATTAAAAGATAAAAAAAAATTTAAAAAATAGGAATAGGCCAGAGCGCGTTTGCTGAGCACTATATCGGGAGCGCAGAGATTGTTAGACCGCCTTCTGTGGTTTCTACTGGCTGCAACCAGAACAGGAAAGACCTTGAGAGACCCTCAAGCCACGCAATGGTGTCCATGACCTTTGATGATGTGGCTGTTAAGTTCACCAATGAGGAATGGGCTTTGCTGAGTCCATTCCAAAGGAAGATCTACAAAGATGTGATGAAGGAAACCTTTAGAAACTTAGCTGATATAGGAAGAGCTTGGGATATCCAGAAAGTTGGAAAAGAACACAAAAATTACTCCAGAAATCTAAGAAATGAAGAGATACAGAAATGCTATCAATATAAAGTTGGAATCGATATGAAGAAATACTCCTTTGTACTCCAGATGTTAATGTGGACATGAATCAAACAGACATACACAATAATGTTGAGATCTATCAAACAAATTATAGGGGAGAGAAACCCTATGTATGTGAGGAATGTGGGAAAGGTTTTAGCAAAAAGAATCGTTTTCAGTGTCATTTAAGAACTCACACTGGGGAGAAACCCTATATGTGTAAACAATGTGGGAAAGCTTTCAACACAAAACATCACTGTCAAGTACATGCGAGAATTCACACTGGGGAGAAACCATATATTTGTAAGCAGTGTGGGAGAGCTTTCAGCAGAAACACTCATTGTCGAAGTCATGAAAGAACTCACAGTGGGGAGAAACCCTATGTATGTGAACAATGTGGGAAAGCTTTCACTACACATAGGTATTATAAAATACATGAAAGACTTCATACTGGGGAGAAACCCTATGCGTGTAAACAATGTGGGAAAGCTTTTAACACATACCGTGATTGTGAAGTACATGAAAGAACTCACTCAGGGGAGAAACCCTATATATGTACACAGTGTGGAAAAGCTTTCAACACATACCATGATTATAAAGTCCATCAAAGAATTCACACTGGGGAGAAACCTTATGTATGTAAAGAATGTGGTAAAGCTTTTAGCAAAAACAGCAGAAACACTCAATGTCAGAGTCATGAAAAAACTCACACTTGGGAGAAACCGTATGTATGTAAACAGTGTGGGAAATCTTT